CGTTCGAGGTGGACTTGGGCGCATGGTTCATCGAGGTTGACAGTCTTCAGGGCCTTCCCAGGTCCTTCCACCATCGTCACCTCTTCCTTCTCCTCGGTCTCGACGTCGTGCAGTGCACAGAACGTCGCCATCAGGATAGTGGCCTCATCATCATCATTAACTTGCGCCAGATGAGCCTCAGCCTTCTTCTCATGCTTGCGATTTGGGCACTCCCGTGCCCAATGGCCTGTCTTCCCATAGCACCGATAGGCATTAGGGTCGACCTGCTTCTTCTTCTCCGAAGAAGCTTTGCCGCGGCGCTTGCCATCGCCACCGCGACTGGAGGAGGCTGCCTTCCCAGAGTTCCTTCGAGCAGCCCACTCCTCTTCTATCAGCAGCAGTTTGCCGCTGTCCTTCATTGCTGTTGCCTACTCTAGGTGCTCATCCACCACCCTTAGACGGCTTGTCACATCCTCAATGGTGAGGGTGGACAAGTCCATCATCATCTCTATGGAGAGAGCGATCTGGATGTACTTTGCCGGCACGGAGTGGAGGTACTTGGAGACCGCCTCCTCTTCGTCGATGGTGACACTATGGCTCTTCAGCTTGCTGATGAGCATCTACAAGCGGAGGGAGAAGTCCTCCACCATTTCACCATCTTTGAACTTGAGGTTGGCGTACTCCTACTTCAGAAGCTGGGCCGTCGCCTTCTTTGCACGGTCGGAACCAACATGCATCGCCGCAATAGCCTCCCACGCCTAGCCAAGCTCTTTGTCCCCAACGGCTCCCTGTACTCCACTCGTACAGCAGCGAGAATAGTCTCCAATGCTGACATATCATCTTCCTCATTGTCGGTGCCCTTGTCAATAGCATTCCAGAGCCGTCGGGCTCTGAGCTTGACCTTCATGGTCACCGACCACTCTCCATAGTTGGTGCGAGTTAGCGTCGGCCAACTGGTGCCGCTGACCTCCTGCACCGTGCGAACAATGACCTCCGGTCGTGGCTAGGCAGCCACAGTAGTGCCACTGCTGTAGCCCATCTCCGAACCGTTCGTCATCACCAGCGGTTAGTCCGGCGATGGTGCTTGTATGGCTCTGATACCACTTGTTAGCCCACAGGATCACCGGCTCAGGTGAGTCAACCACTCACCAGTCTTGTTGACCACGGCCGAGCACGACCGAGACTGTCCGAGCACACACACTATGGCTAGAGGTAGAAGAAGAGGGAGAACATAGCATACACACATAGTACAAGCACCAGTGTTGGCCGGAGCCCTGTATAGGAGATGGCAAATCTGAACTCTCTTTACTGAGTTGTCGTGGCAGTCTATTTATACAACTCTATCCATCTAGTCCTAATACAGCTGCCATATTGCTACAGTGACTAGATAACATAGCAGAACTGACTTATGCGCATGTCCCTGTATGTGGCTACAGTGCGGCAGGTGAGCCGTTCGGCGCCTGCCTCTACAGCGGCTACAGTACCACAGCAGGGAGCCTTTTCGGTGCCGCCTTCCCTTGCTGTGTGTTCACACAAGGAAGCAATAGTTTATCTAACAAAGAGGAAGGGGCGTCCATGGAGGTGGGAGGGGAGGAGCAGAAGCTGTTTCTTCTGCTATTTACTTGTGCGTGAGGGAGGGAGGAGGAAATATGGCCGCTGTTATGTGCATGCATGCAATTGAATATGATGGAGTGAAGGAGCACACATAAGAGAGGATGAAAGAGAGGTGTGACCAAGGGAATTAAGGGAGGAAGCATTATATGCTGTTGTTATTTCTGCATGAGGGAAGGGAAGTTGCGTAGGGGTAAAAGAGATGGTGTCCTGATGGAGTGAAGAAGATGGAGGAGCATGGCTATTTTCTGCATGTCATGTAAAGGAAACGGGGAAATTGATGGAGTAAAGGGGAATTAAGGGGGCCAATGAATTTAGGGAGAGCATGATGTGTTGTAGTTCTTTTGCATGGGCACATAAAGGGGGCAGCTCCTGTGCTTGTCGTGAAAAATAGAAAGAAGGGAGAGGGGGTGTCCAAATGCATTGTATTTGTGAGAGATGGATCTAAGGAGAGTAATTTCTGCTGTTTTTGCATGAGGGGAAGAGGAGAGTGCGGCATAGAGAGAAGAGGGGGAGGCCTCTCCACGTGAAATAGTGGGTGAGGAGATATTACTAGCTGCTGCATGCATTCATGCAATTGAAGATGAGAAGAACCGATGGAGTAAAGGTGGTCTAGAAAATTAAGAGAGGAAGGAATTGGTGCATTTATTTTTGCATTAGGAGTAGAGAGATGCATGCATGAGAGCAGCAGAAGAATGGGGAGGCCGACCGTGCTCTTCGATTTAGTAACTGCTCAAAAATAAAATGGAGAGATTAATAAGGAGGGGTGGTTAAGGGGAGATATGTCTAGGAAATTTAGGGAGGAGCATTAGGTCTTGTTGATATTTTTGCATGAAGGGGAGAGAAGGGGTGACACCACGAGAGAGGGGGCTGCATCTTCTCGTGAAAGAGAGGGATAGGGGCAGCCAGGAGGTGGGAGAAGGAAAGAGAAGTGTGTTGGGCTGATCCGGACTTGGCCCAAAGCAACAGAAGACACTCTCGGCTTGATCCGTTAGCGAGAAGAGGAGGTACAAGGCTGGTTTGGAAGTGGGCTAAGATTATGGATTTGAGCATTAGATGGGAGAATGTGCAGCAAGGTTTGGGTTTGGTCCATAAGTGACAGAGATGAAAAATTTGGGTGCGTAGGAAGGTTATGTGAGGGAGATTGGTTGACATGGGCTTGACCCGAAATGAGATTAACATGGCAAGTGACATGTTATTGATTTGATTTAACCCAAATGATGATAGAATTGTGTCAAAGAGAAGAGAGACAAGAATTGGCCATCTAGCATAGATTTAGGACATTGGGAAGACTCGGTGGAAAAGAAGTAGGAGCCTGAAAAAGAAGAGGAAAGAGAGAGGATCGGGCTAGGGTTTATGTAAGATGTCAGCAAAGGACTTGATTAGAGTATTAGCAATTGGTTTGATGTTGAGATGAAGTTGGGATCAAACCCTAGGCACATTTGTAAACATTGAAATTCATTTTCCATACATAAACACTATGCAAAGGCATGAATGCAACAAACCATTAAATTAGTTACAAAAATTTTAAAAACTCACAGTTTCCAATATCTAGAATGTCAACAACTTAAGTAAGTTGGGAAAAGTTTAGAAAAAATGATAAAACCATTTAATGTTATTTAGTGTTTTCTAAGTCACAACCCAAATGGAATTTTGGGGTGTGACAACAAGTAACAAGAGTTACTCAGAAGGAATGCATATGATTGTTTCGAGAAACGACAAGTAGCGGGAGCTATGTGCTCAATGAAGACATGACTGATAACGTCTTACCCCAATCCCTTGGGAGTTACTCAAAAGAAATGTATATGATTATTTCAAGAAACGACAAGTAACGGGAACTATGCACTCAGCGGAGACATGACTGGTAATGTCTTATCCCAGTCCTTTGGGAGCGAAGACATACATGACTACTGAACTTAAGGAGGCATGCTTGCGTGTCATTTGATAACGGTTTGTCAATGGTTGTAGTGGTGTCACCTAGCATATCTTAACTACTCCTTCGGTTTTAAAGTTAACTTCGGTTTTGTCCTAAGTCTTGTTTCTTTATTTTTACCAAGTTTATAGAAAGTGGACCAATATCTAGAGTATCAAATTAGTTTCACTGATTTTTTTATGAATTATGTTTTGAAAATACATTTGTTTGAACTTGTCGATGTTAATACATTTTTCTAAAACATTGACTGATGTTAAAGAAGTTTGACTTAGGAAAAAGTAAAAGCGCGCTATAATTTGGAACGGAGGTAGTAGCAGGGTTCAGCTTTGTGCTTGTTGTTCTGCACCACACGCTGTGGAATATTGTTATTGATAGATAATTTTCCAATATATATATGGTGGTTTTTTTTTTTGTATTGTAGAGCTCGAAATATATACAGATGTTCCCAAGCAACTAACAGCTCTATGTAGAATCAGCAATACACAAAAGCTTTTGGTTTATGCTTGTTGCGCAGGTTATTCCCCTTAGTAAGATGGAGATGAATAAAACAACCAAAAAGTATATATATGTGAACTGTATTCAAATGAAGTAGTATATAAGTTTACCCTTACAAATAGAAATGAATTGAAATAAACACAAATTACAAAATAAGAAGAAATTAATAGAAATGCGAATATTTAAGGCCACTTAATTTGTAGTGTTAGCATAATCACTTAGTAGTTAGTAATACTTTTCATGGCAATTAGCACCAAGTTAAGCGTTGGGCCCTTTTGCAATTGATGATTAAAATCTGGAGACATTTCATACTGATAGAGTTGAGCAGGGCTGCATGTTACTGTATATATATATATATATATATATATATATATATATATATATATATATATATATATATATATATATATATATATATATCTTCGGCTGATCAATATCATGTCTGCTTAGAGATAGAAAGGAGATATATGCTTGACGAACTTACACTAGAACTAGATAGAAGTATAACTCTAATTGTAAAGGATCGAGAACTATCGATGAAGCCACCTCTAAATAACCTTAGATAAAAAAGTGGAAGTGGTCTGGTGTCAGATGTCTGTTCCTCGTGTCTATCTGAAGTGTATCTCTGCGATGCAAGAGATATTGTAGATGTCGTCTACGGGAAGCATCCATAATCCATAATAATAAATGAGAGTATACCAAAGAAAATCTGAGTAATTTTTCGTTATTTAATGAAAATCTTCTGCAGATTATACCTGCTACGATGCATGGATACACTGGGGCTCTCTCGTAACCGCGTCAGCAAGTGCGCGCAGGCAGCCACGCCTCCACCGCGCGCTGGTCGCGCCTTCAAAACCACCTCCCCCTCTCTGGCGCCTTCTTCTCCATCCATCCTCGCTTGTATCCACATTCCACAGTTCCACACCATCTCTTCGATCCACATCAGTTGTGTGTGGTTTCTTGCAGCTTGTAGGTGATCACCATGGCGCGGGTGCCGAGGGGCAGTTGGGTGGCGAGGAGGCGGGCGCTGGACCGGCTCCGCCGCGGCAGCGCACACTCGGCGGCCAGAAGGAACCATCCCCAGGGGTGCACGTGGATGGGCGTGCGGGAGCGGGTGCGGGGCCGGTGGGCGGCGTAGATTCGCGTCCCAGGCACCCGCACCAGGCTGTGGATCGGCAGGTTCGAGCAGGCCCTACAGGCGGCGCTCGCCTACGACACCGCGCTCTTCTGCTTCTACGGCCCCCACCGCCTGCCCAGCCTGCGCAGGTTAAACTTCCCGGCCGCGCCGCGCCCCAAAATCCCCGAGGACGTGCGTGCCACGCTCACCCGTGCCGACATCAAGGGCATCGCAGAGAGCCACGCCCGCTTCTTGGCCAACTTCTACGTCGGTCCGCTGCCCGCCGTCAGCCGTGCAGCAGCTTCACCACCACCACCGGCGGCGGCGGCGGCAGCAGATGGTGCTACTGCTGTTGCCAACGACGAAGCAACCGCTGCTACTGGTGGTAGCAACGGCAACAACTGCATGGGCTAACATGACATCTTGACCGCTGCCGACTGCCTACTATATACAATACTTTCTAGTTCTAGTGTACTAATCGATCGATCTGTGATCGATCTTTATCATCGTCGTCCTGATGTCAAGCTCATGTGTGTTTCTGTGTGAAGCTACTAACCATTTGCATGTCAAACGATGAGGGTCTCACAAGAAGACCCCAGATCGTCGGGTTATATACAATGAATAAGTTACAAGTTTAATCTGCAGTCTGTCAGCGTGTAAGATGTATACAAGATGAAAGTCTTGAAATGAAAACTGTTTTATGTGTTTAATCAATGGTTCAGTGTTGTAAAATGTAAATTGTCAATTGCATCAAGTATGTACTCCTGAAAATGTGAAAGGAGGGAACAGAAGAATTAAAAAAGGCGCGAAACCGACCTATGGCGTGAAATTTGATATTTAAAATATGAGATTGGAAAATTTTAAATTCAGGGCCTAATTAATCTCCTAGAATAATTCAGGGTTGAAATAGTGGAGCATACTATACAGGATTCTATAAATTAGATCATGAACAAGAACTTTGTGGTAGAGTTTGAATGTTAGTCACTACTTTTTAAGCTCGCCATGTGTAGGTCCAAAAATTACTATTCAGGTTAAGAAACATTCTAGCTAACTTCTATCTCTAAGATGTGTTTCACCATAGTTGAAGACTCAATGGCCATATACTATCTTCTATCACCAAATTAAATCTTTCTACTTAATAGACATTGCTTATAATTTTTTTTCCACTTTTGTGTGTTCTTTTCCTTTATTCCATGATCAACAATTAAGCTGAAAACTTCGTAAAAATTGGCTATATGTGATTGTCGAGAGCGAAACTATATATATTCCCTTTTCTTGAAAACTACCAAAAATTTTCAACATCTTTTCGTTGAAAACGGGAAGAGATTTGCATGATGCTACAGTATATAAGGATTTTTAATTTCTTATAATTTCCCGCCTATTGCTATTAACTACAAACCTGACTTTTAACCATTTATTTTTCGCTCACTAGCCAAAGATGAAGAGTATGATCTAATTTTGTGAGACAATTGCGCGTGTTGAACCCTAGCCTGCCCTAACGGCCTCCTCGCGGCCGCCACCTAGGCACCGGCGCCGCCCACCTTCCCCCTCCCCCTCCACTCCACTGCCCACCCCCGAAGCCCCGCAGGATTTGGGCCGGGTTCTGGGCCGCGTCCCAGCCCAATCGCGCCGCCCCTATTATCGCCGCCGCGGCCTCTCCACCACTAGAAGCTGCAGATCCAAGCCCAACCCCGTAGGATCCGGTGCTAGAGCGCCTCCACGGCCCTCCCCATCCATGCCCCCGCCGCCATCGACGATGGCCCTGCCAATGTGGCCACCACTTCCAACAGCTGTAGCATCGAGCCCATCACGGCGGGAACAGACGATGGAGCGCCTCCATGAGCTCCCACCCCATCATCGCCGTTGACGACACCGGGACCCAATGGCGCGGCCACCATCAACAGCAGCGGGAGTGTCAAGCCCGCCTCCGCGGGATCTAGCGCTGGAGCGGCCACACAGTTTCCCTCTACGTCCCCACCACCGCTGACGCCAGGCTCCACGCTCTCACCGGACATGGCTCCGTTGTACCCACCTTTGGGAGGACGCACGAAGCGCCGTCGTTGGGCGGACGACGATGCTGAGGAGTCCGACGACGAGCACCCCACAACCTACCTGGAGGCTGTCCGTCGACCAGTGAAGCAGGTAACGGCGTCCCCGCCGCGCGCCCAAATTCGTTCCATCATGGTTCTGGACCGTGGCGGAGTGGACGCTGGACGGCAGGGACAAGGAAGAAGATGGAGGAATCGCAGACAGCCGTGCCCCCAACTAGTGTGCGGCATACCTACTCGGCCAGTGGATGGCCGCATCCCTACCCGCCAACGCCGACGGGTCTCCGCTCCCAACGCCATGTCTAATTTCCCCTACACTAATGCACCTACTCCAAAAACAAATCCTCTGGCGACAATAACTTTTCATTTCATGGCCTATATAGCAAGTACTGATGCAACCTTTTTTAGTTGTTATTGTCATCCTGTAATCTACAACAAATGAAGGGATCAAATCCATGGTCATAGATCTCAACCAAGACCCACAAGAGGGGGATGGAGATGCATTACCTAATTTCAATAATCCTATTCCAGATCAAGATGAAGTCCATGAAGATGAACATGTTGTAGGTGGTGTTCAGGGAGGTGGCAATCATGTTTTCAATACTTTTGATCTCAACGGTGAAGTTGTAGAGGAAGATGAATATTTCATGTAGGTATTTGTTTTCTCAATGCACTATGGCAGTAACATTGCAAATATCATTAAATCAAACTTGCCGATTGAAAGCTCTAGTTTGGTTTTGGTGAATTGATGAAACCCTATGTGCTAACCCATTTGCTCTAGTGATAATGAGATATGTGGTACTATTCCAAGTGGTGAAGCAATGGTGAAGATCATGATGATGGTGTGACCATGGTGATGATCAAGTGCTTGGATTTGAAAAAGAAGAAAGAGAAAAACAAAAAGCTCAAGGCAAAGGTGAAACTTGATAGGAGCTTTTGGTTTGGTGATCGAGACACTTAGTGAGTGTGATCACATTTAGGATCGATAGCCGTACTATTAAGAGGGGTGAAACTCGTATCAAAATGCGGTTATCAAAGTGTCACTAGATGCTCTAACTCATTGCATATGCATTTAGATCTAGTGGAGTGCTAACACCCTTGAAAATATTTGTGAAAATATGCTAACACACGTGCACAAGGTGATACACTTGATGGTTGGCACATTTGAGCAAGGGTGGAGAAGTTGGTGAAGTCGAGGGGTTGTTTTCCCTCGACCAAACGCAGCGATCGGACTCATGTCGTGCGTTCTGTCAGTGTAGGGCAGAGGAGGCGCACTATCAGCCTCTGACCGAACGTTGCACATTATTTGTGACCAGACGCGTAGGGCTTGCATCCGGTCAGGCTGACGTACGCTGACGCGGGTGGCTTTGTGAGTGCGGTGAAGACCTAACACAATGGTGCGTCTGGTCAGGGCAGACCTAACACGTCCGATCGGAGTTTGGGCGCTCTAGAACCTCTCTGGAGTCGACCTGACGCGTGGAGGCTGTTCTGATCGGCGTGTCCAGTCGTTCTTTGGTGGCACGCGGGCGTGTGTTGACCTGACGCGTAGGTGGCGCGTCCTATCATCCTTCATGGCGTCCGATCGCCACTTAAGCTAACTCGCGAGCAAAGTAGCAGTTGGTAATCAACGACTGACGTTGAGCGTAGGGGGATGTGTAGCGTGCATCCATTGACCGGACACTGGCAGGCTACGTCCGATCACCCCGACCAGTGCGTCCGATCAGCGCGTGACAGGCAGTAGTGAGGAGCCCAACGGCTCTATTCGTGGGGGCTCTCTCTTTAAGCCCCATGGCTGGCTCAAGCTCACTCTCTTGACCATTTGCATTGACATAGCAACCTTGTGAGCTTAGCCAAAGCCCTCCCACGTATCTCCATCATTGATTCATCATCTTTGTGAGATTGGGAGTGAATCCAAGTGCATTGCTTGAGTGATTGCATCTAGAGGCACTTGGTGTTCATGTTTTGCTACGGGATTCACTTGTTACTCTTGGTGGTTGCCGCCACCTAGATGGCTTGGAGCAGTGAGGATCATCGAGCGGAGGTTGGTGATTGTCTCCGGCTCCGATTGTGGTGATTGTGAGGGGTTCTTAACTTTTCCCCGGTGGAGAGCCAAAAGGTACTCTAGTGGATTGCTTGTGGCTTATGTGATCCTCATCTTGTGTTGGTTGTGTGGCACCCGGTTGTGGGTTTGGCGTGTGATGCCAATTAGCGCGTGAACCTCCAAGTGAGTGAATCGCCACAACGAGGACTAGCTTGCTGGCAAGCAAGTGAACCTCGGCAAAAAATCTTGTGTCATCATTGTCCGAGGATTTCTTGGTTATCTTGTGATTGATTGATTGGATCCATCTTGTGATTGGCACACTCCTCGACACATCGATATAAACATCACCACCTCTCTTGTATTACATTCTTAGTGTAGCTAAGCTCTTTAGTGTAATTAGTTTTGAGAGCTAGCTTGTGTCGGGTCTAATAGTTAGTCTTTGAGAGCTCACTAACTTAGTGTAGTGACATAGTCTTTGTGTACATAGAGATTATAGATACTAGAATTGTGGTAGGTGGCTTGCATTTTTAGTAGGCTGGCGCAACACTCACTTCGCCATTTAATTATCTAACATCTTTGCTAAGTGTTGTTGTAGAAAATTTCAATAGGCGATTCACCCCCTCTAGCCATTAGGACCTTTCAAGTGGTATCGGAGCTGTGGTCACCTTGATTTGAGGCTTAACAACCTTCGGTGTCAAAATGGCTCAAATCAACAACACCAAGAAGCCACCCCAATTTGATGGCTCTAACTATCCCTTTTGGAAGGCTAAGATGACAACATATATCAAGTCAATCAATAGGAATGTTTGGAAGGTGGTGGAGACCAAGATTGAGATTGCCAATGAGGAGGCTCCCACCGCAACTGAAGAAGTATTGCTCCAAAACAATGACATTGCTCTTAGTGCCATTCATGATGCATTGGATGAGAGAACATTTGAGAAAATCAAGAACATTGAGATGGCTCATGAGGCATGGAAGAAGTTGGAGGAGTCATTTGAGGGCACTCAAGCCGTGAAGGGTGCCAAGGCATACATTCTCAAGGAGAAATTTGTAAGCTTTAAGATGAAGGAGGATGACAGTGTGTCAGAGATGTTCCATAGGTTTCAAGTGCTTGTTAATGATCTCAAAGCACTTGGAGAAGAGGTGAAGGAAAAGGACTTCTCCCACAAGTTCTTAAGATGCTTACCATCAAGATTTGACACATTGGTCACTATTCTAGTGAGGAGTGGTTTGGACACCATGACACCAAACCAAGTGTTGGGAGATGTAATGATCAATGATACATATAGAGATGATGATGAGAAGGAAGAAAAGAATGAGAAGAA